TTCCCTGGAAGGCCAAATAGAATCAAGAATGGTTGGCTGTGAGTTGTTCCAGAGGCTTTCGTTTTTGCTTTCGTTTCGATGCACATGGAGACCAGTGATGAAGGCTCAGAATCCTGTATGAAGGCTCAGGATCCTGTGATGAAGGCTCAGGATCCTTATGGCAAAGTGCTGCAACATGTGTACGGTATCCCTTCTTGAGCGGCCAGACTTGCAATCACAACCAACCCGGCAAGATTGCTGTTGAGCACGAGGAAGTATCAAGCGTTTACTGCGTCAACATCGGCACTTCTCACCAGGCAATTCACATCGGAACAGGGGTGGATGCGATTCTGAAACATGCTTGATATTAGATAGGTATGCTGCGGTATGCTTTGAATGGGATGAAACATGCTTAGATATTAGATAGAATATGATAGATATGCTTAGGAGGAGAGTCACACACGTTGAAACCGGCAAACCGCATAGTCGTCGTCGTCCCGCCCCGCATCGCCCAGCGTCGCACATGAGGAACCCAATAGGAACCCCAACACACACAGTGACACCCTGCAGCAATAGAGCATGTGAGTTGAACCCTTTCAAAAAACGGCTTTGGTGTTTCTTCGTATTTTTTGCAACAAAAGGACCCCCTAGCCATTGGAATCGTCCCTGAGCTAGGTCCGACAACTCCAAACACGGCTGCTCTGTCGCCGAGATGCGTCGATCTCCACGTTTCCCACGCCAAGCTGAGTGAAAGACCAATGTAAACAGCTAAAGTACTGAAACTGCACCTTAGAGGAAGGCAGCGTGGCCGAAACCCTGGCATCTCCGAGGTGGGAGAGTGGAGTAAGAATGTTCATCAACTCTATTCCAACTAAGTAAAAGTTTAGATAGTTTAGTAGGGTCTAGTGTTTTTTGAACATTTTCTGATCTTTCTGGAGCTCTGCTAAACATCGTGTCTTTGCTAAATGCCCAGAGTTAGTGACATATGATAACTTAGGAACTCTGTCTTTTAGACTGGTTGCCAAACACGTCGCTCTGGCATGAGTCTGGTCCTTGTACGCATGCGCCGCAGCTCAATGCGTGCGCCTCTTCCTAGAATTGTCATCAGTCTTCCTATCTTCACAGCACATCACTTCACCTTACGTTTTCAAAGGTTGGCTACTATTGTGCCTTTACCAGTTGATGTGATGGACCATTATATAGATATCCAATGGAAGCTCAAAAGTGCCGTAGGAGTGCCCATCGGTGACCCCTCCCAAGCTGCTGCTGCTGCTGCTGGTGGTGGTGGTGGTGGCGGTGATGATGATGATGATGATGATGTGGTTGATATGCAGCACCCAAACATGGAGTTGCAAGGCTGAATGGCTTCAGCACACACTCCAGATGGATCCTACAAGGAATCGCCCAACAGCGAACGACCTCCAATTCGTCAAACTTCAAGGCCCAAGGCAGCTTGCTCCCAATCCGCCGCTTGCGCAAGTGACAACACTAGTGGCATCCTTGTCTGCAAGGGAACTTCCGAATACTTCAGAAACAGCACAAATCAGAACCACAATTTAAGGTATAAGATGGTATAAGCATGATGCCGCTTCTGCTGTCTGCCGTGAGAGGGGCGCCACTATTCCGCCCAGAACACACGTCTTCGGCTGCGCTCGGGGTCCTCGGCCTCCGTTGGACCCAGGGAGAGGCGCACCACAGTGGCCATCCGAAACCGCTGTCGACAGCTCCCTTCACCGAACGGCGGAACGGCGGCTCGGACGCGAAGAACAAAGGTTCGGAACGGCGGAACGGACGCGAAGAACACGGGAGCTGATTGATCAAGAGCCAGCAGAGCGCCCAGCAGAAGGCATGACCACATGATATACCACGGCCCATGACTCGCGCAGACCATGCGCACAGCGAGGAAGTGGCTGTCAAACTCTGAAGAGGGCACTGAGAGTGTTCATGAATGTGTCCAGCATGGCGGCGTGGTCCTCCAAGTCCATTGAGGCCCTATCGAAAACCATAGGGGATAAGAGACTGTGGGCACAAGGAGACGCAGCTCACCATCGCTCTGGTACTCCCAAAGCCAAAGGAAGAGACACCAAGTAGTAGGATGAAGATGCTTGATAAGGGAGCCGCACCAAAGCTGCAGTGCAATCCAGCATCAACAAAGGGCAAGCGGAGACTGTGAGTTGCATACATCGCGCTGCTTGTTACACGATAGAGCACAAACTGAGTGCCATCAGGGCCATCACCCAGAATATACCCCAGGTATCCCCAGATATTCACTGGAAGCCATGAAACCATTCCTTGCAAAAAGATTCTCCCACTTTTTCAGGCACCCAGTCATCCCTTCCAACCAAACCAGAGTCTGAACCCAAACAAGGTCTCATGCCAACGGTTGTTCGGTCTCTGGACGCTTCGGGACCACCACCGACGCTCCGAAAGCAGCCTCCCCCCGTGCCACTGCGTCTGCGTGACCGTGGCCGTCCGAAGCTGTGTGACCTGGACCGCTCGGTCGACTTGGAACCGTGACGGATCAGTTGGACTACCGGTCATGATGGGCTACCGGCACCTGGGGAGAACCGCGACGGACCTGTGTGACTACCCAGGTTTTGCTCCAGGTGCCCCATACCAGTGAGGATCTACTGGCACAGGACCTCGGTACGGGTGAAAGGTGTTGAAGACATCACCCACATGAAGGTGGCAGTGGATCCATGAGGGAAGGAAGAGATTTAAGTCTAAGTTTTGGGGAACTGCCTGCTTACTCACAATATCCCAGAGTACTGAAGTTTTGACATCATATTAACCTGAGAAGAGAGACATGAAAGCCAGTCGAAGTTCACACTATACACCCGCGCGTGCGGGTGACGCACGCGAAAAGGGGGGTCCTGAGACGCATGTGGGGTCCTGTCCTACGATCAACGATACTTCTGAGTGGAGTCGGACCACAACCTTGCGTTTTGCCTCCAGTATCTTGCAAGCTGCGCATCAACTGCCCCGAAGAAGAGGAGACAAAGGTGGGCCAGCGTAGCAGTTGTATGTTCATGCATGCATCTTAAGACTATGAACCCCCTTTTTGGTCACCTGGAGCCCAGAATTCGGTCGAACCAGGTCGCCCCTTCAAGTCGAACCCCGGACCTGGAGTGTTTATGATTCGGTATTTCATGACATTAAAACACTGTCGGTAGATCACACGTCACCCAGAGTCAGACGAGAAGTGCTCAAACAATTCATGATAGGACTTGAACCCACTTGGTTGAGCTGTCTTGTTCTTCGCACTCGAAGGTGGGGTAGTGCTTGAGTTGAAACACAAACGGTGAATTGATTCCCAGTCAAGGAGATTGAGCAGTTGCTGTGCTGGTTGTTAATACTGTGCAGTACGTTGGCACTATGGTGGGAAGCATGTTGTGGTATGCTGTATGGCGTCTCGTTGCACCATGTTGCAAGTGATTGTAGCTAGTGCAACGTCAAAAGTTCTGACCTCGATACCTAGATTGCAGAATAATTGTTCTATGTACGAGTACCCAATATATGTGCACATAAATGAACCATACAAACGAGTCTAGACATGCTTAAAGCGGCAGCAAAGCATATTCCTCCTGTACGCATCCTGTGGAAGATGTATTTCTGTACCATTCGACGATTGATGATGTTTAAGGACACCATTCAAAACAAAGATGTTCTTCATGTATATACCTTGAACATGCAAGTTCGAGTTGTGTCACTGTGGAAGTGGGTTTTCATCCCCATGGCACGGGGGGAATATGTTCTTATAGAACCAGCTCATGTCTCAACTTGACCTCTGGAGGTCGGTCTCTCAAGGCTTTCCTCGTCGTCCAGTCGGTCGTTCCTTCGGCTCGATGGGTTTTGTCCGTTACATCGATCGCTCCGCCGGCGTGACCAACCGGATACTGGGCGTGAAGGATAGTGAAGGTTCTTTTTAGCCGGACAACTGACCAGTCGACCCCGCCAAGGCCAGGGTGTCTCCCTATGACATGAAGCACCTACATAATCCTATTATATTATAATTATATATTTATATTCCCTAAGGAGCCAAGTACAGTACCTTCTCAGGTCATTGGAGACGCTGTTAGTAGATTTGGAGGGCCCAAAAGCGCTCTGTCTTCAACACTTAGGCACTGATCCTTTTTTGGACGTGAACGCCTGGGGCGCGCGCGGACGGTTTCAAATGCGCCATTCCTGGACCCTGGACACATTCTTTCACACACGATCACTTGTAGTTTGGCATAGGTGAATCTGATGGAGAACATGCTTGCCTGCTTACTGCTGGCGTGCATGATCTTTCACCTAGACCAGCGCAATGATCGATTTCAACCGCCAATACAATAAGAACAAACATATGCACCTTTCAAAGACATTGTAAGACTGATCCACTGTGTAAGAGCAAACGTCTAGTCTAGACATTCCGAAAACATCTGCGATCGAAAATCAAGGCACCTGCCATGAACAAAAATAGTAATGAGTGCCAAGCTGTACATCGCAGCCTGCAAAAGCTTAGCATGCAGGAAGCTGCTGATGGGATGAGCTGGTCTAACGGAATGTAATTCCGGATTGTGTCTCACCGGCTTTGATATGATTGACTCCGGTAGAAGGGGAAGTTCACAAAGCCCAAAGCTTTCGCCATTCTGAGGGACCCTGTTTAACATTGTTTAGCTGTTCGACAAATGTTACTTATCCGTTGGCCAAAATAAACCCAGCCTAACCAAGATGACATAAGTTTTGTGGACCAACTCAGGGTAAGCTTGAAATCACCCCATCTGCCAGGGAAGAATTGGGAACACCGGGAAAATCTGGCAGTCGGTATTCCCGGTGTGATACATACTCGGAGTTGATCGGTGTCACGCAAGCTGTGAACGCGTTCTTGCCGCAGCCTGCAGACACACATTTTGCTTGATAGCAGCCGAACCAAGCGAACGGCTCCTGTCCTCATGTATCCCCGCTTCTAAAGGTCACCCTCTCGGCTCATGGCTGTTTCACCAACCAATGGACAAATGAACAATGAACGATCAAGAGGTGCCCTCTTCACCATGGGGTCCCAAGAGGTGCCCCATCGAAACGGGCTGTCAGACATGGGGATCCATCGAAAGGGGCTGTCCCACCGGGACTTCATGGCGCCGACTCTCAGGATCCGGGACGTCCGAAAGAAGCTCGTCCACCAGCGACGGACTGTCTCTCGAGCTGCTGGTGGTCTCCTGCGTTGGATGGAACTTGGTGGTGTAAAGGGCATTGAAACTGGGGGTTGTGAGGAAAAAGCCCACAATTCCGACCGGGGATTCACCCACAAGGAAACAAGAACAGCACCCGCAAGGTCACAAAGCCAAGAAAAGCAATGATGTCCGCTGAGGCCTCAGTTGTGCTGCACGGAACGAACACGTAACGCGTCCTTCAAGTGTTCGAGTTCGAGCGGTTCACTATTGCGGCGAAATTGACCCCTGCGCTTCTGTAGCGATCCCTTGAGAGATCTCAGATCCACCTCGTTGTGCAGGATGGTGCAGGTGACAATGGAAGACTATCGGGATCCCTAAACATCCCTAAACAACATAACTTAAGATTAAAAAATGTTCAACGTGTCGCGTCAAGAGCAGAATACCAAAACAGCATATTACATATCCAATGAATATGTTTAAAAACAGTAGTATGTATGTCATAACGATCATCACCGAGGCACATCCCCCACAGACCATGTCATTGTTCCAGGATCGTTGTCAAGGTCAAGAGACAAAGGCAAATCACCTTGGGTTTGCATCAGGCGCATGGAAGGAACACCATGGAAAACCCACTGCCGTCGACCATGTCACGCCTCTAGGACTACACGAGGTAAGGGTTTGGCTCCTGAAAGTGAACTAGAACATGGTGACTGAGATCCACAAGGTGAAACATGGTGAAACTATCCCAGGTCACCCAAGGTTGCACTGACCAACTCAGCTCGGTCAGAAGCTTCTTCTGCGTGGAGGTGCAATGGCTTGCCGAGCATTCCATCCATCTTCGGCAAATGTGATGGCATGTCCATGGCTGTGCAGCTTCTGTCGGTCGCACCAACTAGACTTGGACCCAACTGGCACGGCTTCGGCAAGGCCCGGGAAAGTCTGGTCTTCCATACACCTAAACACTCCATGGAATATGATGGAATATATGCCTGCGTTGAAGACTCATTGACCTTAACCAGAACAAGATTCAGATGACTAAATTCCAAAAACAATTATCTTTTCGACCTCAAAACAACCCTCAGAATGACCCAAGCGGCGCAAGATCGCAAGCGAGCGCAGAAACGCGCAAACTTGGTTCAGCACACGTGATTGACAAACAATGGTGATCAAACTTGCCTCTCTCACGTGCCCAGTTTATTGCCTCAAACACAGGAATGCCCCTCTACGGTCAACCGGTGCTGGTGGGGACCAGTACTGAAGATGAAGCCGGGTGCGAGTAGTGCGCAGTGGTGTCCTGAAGATCCCTAAGTAAATGGAGGGTGGTCCAGCCAGGTGATCCACTGGATGGTCCTGGTATGTTCTGCTATATATCTAGGCAATTGGGCCATCTACTCTCAAACCACTGTAGAAGTGAGGGTATAGCTGGAATCATTTGGACGAATGATGGGATATATGACCCTTTCTAGAGATATTTGTCACGATATATACCCCAAACTCAATCGGACTGGCATGTATTCCAGTTTCATGGGTCGTGTCTGGGATATATAACGAAGAATATCGATGGTATTTCAACCCCCCAAGCATCTTCAGAGGTTTTACATGGTTTCACAATCCATCTGTGTTGGGGGGTGTTCTTCAAGAGTCTACATGATCGCAAAAAGGCACTTGCTTCGGCCAAAAAACAACCACTTGGGGGGATCATTGTACTAGGCACAAGAAGTTACAAGTATCCTAGGGCTCCTGTCCCATCTCCTCAGGTTCGGTGGTATTCGACCCCCAACCAGCACTCACCCACCCCTTGCCCACCGAACCGAAACGGAGGTAGGCGGCCAGGAGCCCAAACGGGTTATGCAGGAGGCACCGAAGCGGAACGCTTCGGCTGGCTCTCTCGTCCCAGCCTCGCCTCGATCCAGCTGGCCTCGCCGGTCTCAGAGGTGCCCACGAAGAACCTCGGCCCGGCGAAGCAAGGCGGAGCCTTTGGGGGTTGGTTGGGTTGGCATCATCATCTGAGCAGTCTAGACGTAGCGAAGAATATTGGAGAAAGAATGTTAAAGACTTACTATATATCGATATATATATATACAGCATATTACTGTATTATATATATATATTTAATGCCATCGATTCAAGAAGCAAACGGAGTCTGGTCAGGTTTCTTGTTGCGGGCCAGTACATCATAGTAGACTTTCTGAGCAAGTGACATCTCAAACCCTGTGGATCCACTTCATGGGTCGGTCTTTCGTTTTTTAACACATCTATCACATGAAGGTCAGTGTCTGATCAAATCGGAACGTGGGATCTAGGCACAAATCAAAGCACGTTTGCACCGAAAACAAAAGACACTAGGCATTGAAAAGAAAACAATATCTTCGATCAGGTCTCTGTCAATATGGTCTTCATTCTGGAACTCCTTGATGATTCCTGTGGATTGTCATGGATTGATTGGTTGGTTGACACGGTCGGTTGTAGCGCGTTATGCTTGTCGTGCTTCATGATTGTGGTACATATACGGAACGAACAAGAAAAACAATGGCGGTGATCGAAACGTATGAAGTGAAACCTCTGCTAAATACTATATACTGTTGATGGAAGGAAAGCACGGCCAGCACCTCCAAAATATGTGGAATAGAATCTGGTTCTCAGATCTGTAATGGTGCAGCAGGTGGTCCAGTCAAGCTTGGCACTGACCTATAGAAAAAAGCCGCGATTTCCAGCGGGTCACAAGCCAAAGGGTTGTGTCTCTGGCACAATACAAAAATAGGAAAGCTTCCGATGTTCGCAACGCTGCTCGATGCCAGGAAGCCAAAGGCATGCGATCACATGCTGCAGGAGGATGATGTAGCCAACAATTTTCAAGATGTTGTACTGTGTCAAGGTTGCCTCCCAGCTGACTTACTCCACCACTGTTTGATCAACGCGACCAGTTGGAATAGGATGTGCCAACATGTCCGGACTTCTTCCAAAGCACAAGTCACTTGGCCAAGGAGTCAAATTGGTGTTTCGATAGAAACAAACCTGCAACTTCCACTATCGTCCCTAGCACGATTGAGGGTCCTGCAAAAGGTCTTGGTGAACTGCTAAATGCACAAGCTAAACATGTCCCGTTGATCTGTTCCGCTCCCTCGAATTACCTCCTTGAGAATCCCTCCACACCAAGGAGTAACCCACTTCCTGTGTCCTTTAGTCAAACAACCACTGGCCGAGCAAAATGACACCTGGTGCTCCTTTGTCCGGTTGTCTAAGGCAACAGTAGAAAAGCCTTGCGGCAACGCTTCAAAAGCGGGCCCCTCCCCATCCTGGCTGATTTCTGGACCTCAAGACCGTGATCCCTTTGGCCACAAAACCACGCACCGTCCCATCCAAAACAAACATCGAAGCATCTGGTCTCCGGAATCCTGATCTCTTCATATCTCTTCTCCGCCTGCGAAAAGGTGTTTTCTTCCATTCTCTGCAGCAAGGTATTCCTTGGTGGAGTGCTGGGAGTGCCTGGCCTGGGTCCATCTCAGGTCTTTTGTATTCCAAGCCGCCACTGAGCCGAGTAGAATAAGCGGATGGAGATCCCAAGGTTCGGAGCTAAGATGGACAAGTTTTCGGGCAAACACCATTCCCACCGAAAAAAAAGGCCACCTATCAATATAGTCTAACCCAAGTGGAATGATATTTGGATTCTCCACAGACTGCAAAGAAGAGGATATGACCGAAGAAAGCTTCACATGCTGCAAGGACCCTCTGAGAAAAACTCATGCTTTCTCAGATGTTGAAATTCCTAGGGCCTCATGTGTTCAATTCTCAGATCTTCGGATTACAAGGTCCCTTGAAGGTCCCAAAGTGTATTCCCTTATACCTCAGGTCCATGATGATCCGCTTCCACAAAAAGCACATAAAAAAACATGTAAAACCAGGGTCTCCTCCCGAGGAGTTCGATCGTTTCCACCTGTTCCACGCAATCCTCGCGGCCCCAAGCGATTGGGTCCACCTGTTCGTGGCACTGTCCACCCCCCATGCCCACCCAGGCGGTGTCCCGCGTCCGCCTTCGCTCGTTTTCACCGGCTAAGCGGCCCTCGTAGGAGCCGAAACATCCGCATGAGCCGCACGAAGCGTAGCAAGCGCAAGGTCTTGGACAAGCGCACCACGCCAGCGGCACCGGTGCCCTGGAGGACAATGGCACCGTTAAGACATCCCCTATGACCTATGGATCCACATACATCTGCGAAGGTGAGCAGGTATAGACAATTTGTGTAGGCGCCTGGGTCGGGCCCAGTCATACCGAACCGGGTCGGTACGGTGGCATGGGATCCATAGGGCTCCATATACTTCCCAGCTTCCGTGAGTTCGTAGGCCCAGGCTAGATGGCACAAACAAATTGTTTGCAATACGTTTGGAGGGTCTAAGCGAGTCTAAGTATCGTCTGGGAATATAGGACTGGAGCCGGACTAAGGAGGGGGACTTATTCCAAGCCTCAATCCGTGCATCGCACTTGGATGACAAGCGTTGACAATCCCAAAAAGCAGAATAGGGGCTAATTGCATGGAATTAGGTGAACACTCAAACTCAAAACCTAATGAAATAAAAGAAAACTCGGACATGTAACACACATATATATATATATATTGTGTGTGTGCCAGGGTCATTTTTGTATGTTTGGCCTGACGACATGGGAGTTGTGGTATGTATGATCGTTCCTGGTGCCCTAGGATTCTGTTGCGTCCGTTGTACAACTGTTATCTCACTGGCCTGCAGTATAGGCAGGGTCTGGAAAGTTTGGTGGATGTTACCAAACCAGCTGTACTTAAGCCCAAACCAGCAAGAACATTGAACGTTGACTCCTAACAGGTCCTAACATCTATGAACCAAAACCTCTTATTGGGACGCAAAGGTAGAAATTAACATTGCAACAAAGGTGCTCTATCACTTGCTATGGTTTCTCAGAGGACCTTAGCTTTCACACGGTGCATATGATCAATCCGAAAGAACCCCGATCGCCCCAATGGATTGGGTCTATGTCCCGATTTCCCGAACCCGGGGCGTGAAAAACTGGGAGGTCTCCCTATTTTAATTTAAGACACCCGGTGGCTCTTGAAGAGCTAAGAATCCTCAAGAAGATTCCACAAACCCCCATTGGTTGGGGTAACACGCCTTGGCGGCATTTGGGAGGGTAGGTCGGCTGGATATGCTTGCCTCTATGGTGTTGTCGAACCCCATTGGGTTCGACCTTCACCCAGTTTCCGGCCCCACCTCTTGCTGCGAGGCCAAAGCAGTTAGGATCCAATCCACCGTGACCACGGTCACGTCCATGAGAAACCAAGTCCTCCCAAAACGGTGGCCCACAAAAAGCACCAGGTCGAATCTTGAACGTTGTTTCACATCTAGTCTTTTGACTAGACCAAGTCCAAAGATTCTCTCTCACTCTCTTATATATAGAGATAGTACCTCACACTAATTGTATATATATATATATACAAAGATCTTATATATGTGATGTAGATCCGATCCAAAGAACCTGCTTTTTACCTTCCTGGCACGTAAAACAAATCTCCAGCAGGCAGATAGTATAGATTGACTGCAATACATTAGATACAGTATGATACAGTATATACACCTATGTTTTCTGCTGATCTATAGGCCAATTGTTCATGCCGTTGATAGCCGTTTTTGCGGATCTTTTTGGGTCCTCAAATAGTGGACCGCAATCCTCCTGGGCTTCATGACCAGAATGCCTGGAGAAGGAGGCTTGAAGGAGGTCTGACGAGTCACACCGTCTGTGGTGGGAGGGTGCCAGGAGGGTCCCATCAGACGACTGGAGCCCGAGCCCTTGGGGCAGCACATGTCCAAGTGAAGCTGAGCAGCAAAGCGTCTCCCAATCTGAACATAGAACCCATGTGACAACTCTAAAGGGCGGCTGGATTCTGAGACTGCGAGCCTCGATGGTAGTAGCCAGTGAAGAAGGAGACGAGAATATCCATATTCCTTGGCTTCCGATTTTGGGTCTAAAG